CTGCCTGCTTCCATGAAGATTCACAGCCTTGGAATGAGTGCAGGTATTTTTCCTCGAGCACACTAAAACCGGACAAGTCTTAAAGTATGCACAGTTGCAGTGTGGAATGAGAAGCCATAGCAACTGGCATTTTGATGCTGACAGAAAATCTATTGGTCTTTTTCTTTTCAAATGGGTCTTTATCCCTCCGTTGATCAAGCATTGATGATTTTGAAATGTTGGTTTGCGAAGGTATGTCAGTCATCTAAATCTTGACTTGTTCCATTAGACTGAAGCACATTGTTTTCACCACTGATTTCATCAGATGTTTGTAAGTGTTAGGAAGTGAACAACTCATGGTAGTAGATAAGTTTCTCAAATTCTGATTTTTCTGTTGCTGATATATTCACTTGTTTGTGCTTTTGGATGCTTTCAGTTTTCCTGCAAGTGATGGATTACATCCCTTCTTTTAGAAAAATGGTGTTTAGCAAAAAGTCCGCCAGTGTAGTTTGCAACTCAGATAATTGTACAAATCGCTTCTCTTTGAGATGAGATTCATACTCGTGTGTAGTAGAAATGACTTTATGCATATCATAGTATTGAAAAGACATGTTCTCAAGAGTCAAAAGCTGACAAACTTTATTTAAAACGTGTACAATGACTTTTATATTGTTTTTTTTTACTGAGTATGTTGATGGTGAAGAATACAGTGACTATTAATATAATTTATTTTGCTTTCATTTGTGCATCATGACTTTAACCATCATCGTTTATGCCCCATGATTGCAAATGTCAACACCAGGACAGAGATATTCGTATTAATATAAAAATAGTTTTTTATCTCATGGACACACTGCAAGCATCCCAGCCTACCCTCAGGGACCTCCCGGACCAATCAGAGCTGTGTGCTCGCTAACCAAGTGCTTTCTCTTTGCGACAGACTTTGAGAGCTTTGACCTCCCTGAAGAGCACCAGATTGCGAACCTCCCCTTGAATGGAGTTCCTCTCATGATGCTGGACGAGGAGCGGGAACTGGGGAAACTCTTAGACCTGGGACCCCCCTCACCTATGAAGATGCCCTCTCTGATGTGGGAGTCCAGTAAGTGAACAAGAATCCCTTCCTTCTAGAGCAGCTGTAAGCAACTTGTTCCCTACTACTTCGTTACCCTGAGAACAGAAAGATGCTCAAGCTTGGCATATAAGTAGTTTTTATCCTTTGGACTATAGGGATGAGCTTTCAGAATAATGAAAACTATTTTCCACTGGGGTTGCTTTGTACTCTCAAATACCAGGGGTAAGATTGAGTCATTCTGAAATATTTTTCTATCTTAGGTACAGCAAAATGGGGTAAATTTAATATGGAACTTCTTAGGGTATACATTGTAGGGTATACATTGAAGTATTATAAAAGTATTATAGATGTGCCTGAGATGAGAAACACAAATTCTAGCCAAGGGTAACATTAGGAACAAGATGCTGTGTAATAGCATAGAATAACAGTACTTTCGTATTATGCAGGGTTTGAGGTCATGGTTTAAACGAGGTTGTTGGGTGGTGGGGTGTGGCCATTGGGTGCAGAATGTTTACTATCTTCCTTTGCCTGGTTCTGATGGAATAACTTGTACTATTTTGTAAGTCAAGTGTATGAGACGGCTCCCGTTAGTGGCATCAAATCTGGTACATTCTGGTACTTCTAAGACTTAATTCTTGGAATTGGTTCTGGTGTAACAACCACATTCTAAAGTCTGTGTGGGTGGGAGACCAGGGAGGAATTAGAGAAAAACATCAATCTATGACTGAAAGAATGAGTTCAGCAGTTTGATACCACCAGCTGCTTCATGGGAGAGAGATGAGGCTTTTTACTCATAAAGAGTTAGTCTCAGAAACACAGGGGCAGTTTTACCTTGTTGTGTAGGGTCATTCAGCGTTGGAATCAACTCGATGACAGTGAGGTTTGTCTGAGGTGATTATGGCAGTTTCAGTGCTGGTATGGATAATGGGAGTAACAAGGATGTATAGAACTGTAAGAAGACATTCCTGTTTTACAGCTCTCTTGCAGTCTCCTTTGAGCAGTCTGCCAGTCCTGGATGTTGAATTGCCACCTCCGTGCTATGACTTCGACTTGCTATGACTCCTTGCTTGAAACTTCTTAGTACTTTATAGCTTGTATGTATTTTTTTGTATTAATAAAGTTCTTTGTTTAATATGGAGACTTCTTAATATTGTGGTGGGTCTATTTTTAAGAAAATTTTTAAAACTGAAAATTAGCCGAAGTGTTTAATCAGACAGTACTGTGATACCAAGAGATTTCTCCTGTTCATGGTAACTTATGGCCCTTACTTTGACTTCTTTTAGGAAACTGCCACTGGTTTCCCCTGAAACATATACCCCCTCAATGTGTACTTTATTGCCTTTTTGTAGCCATTAACTAGTGACAGTTATTAGAACTCTCAATTAGAAGAACCACTTCCAGCTCATTAAGAAGCTATTGCGAGACATTCTTTATTGCTGGTTCTATTGAGCTCCTAATGACTGTAATACTCAGTATTCAGTAATCAGGATGTAAAAGGCTCTTAAATCTTCTGAGAACTCAACTTTCCTGGGATCTTTAATTAGGTTCTTTGAAGATCACAAATTATCACTTACTGATAGTAAGATTTAGCTTCTACCAACTGGAAAGTGTGTTTACTCGTTTACCTTGTGCTAGAGATTAAAGAACCCTGGGGCACCGTGTGTGGTTAACGACCTGGCTGTTATATGTAAGGCTGGAGCTTTGAACCCACCAGCCGCTCCATGGGAGAAAGAAGTGGCAGTTTGTTTGGAACATTACAGCTTTGTGTCATTACTGAACATTTTAACCAAAGATGCCACTTAAGAATCCTCACCAAAAGGGGGACAAGCAGAATCGAAACTCAGATATTTTCCTAGACTCAGACTTTCTGGAGCCATGGAATGTGGATGACTTCTGAAACTATTTCTGACATAATCTTTAAGCCATAAACAAAATACCCCTTAAACTCTTCTTAAAACTGAATAATTAAGAGGAGCCAGTCAGGGTTCAGGGTAGCAACGATGAAACATACAACTTTCCTCTAGTTCCTAATTGTCATCCCCCCTCCCTCCAATCATGATCCCAATTCTATCTTACAAATCTGGCTAGACCAGAGGATGTACACTGGTACAGATAGGAACTGGAAACAGAAATCCAGGACAATGATCCCTTCAGGACCAGTGGTGAGAGTGACGATACCGGGAGGGTGGGGTAGAGAGGGGGAACCGATTATAAGGATCTACATATAATCTCCATGGGGGAAGGACAAGAGAAAAGTGGGTGAAGGGAGACGTTGGACAGTGTAAGACATGACAAAATAATAATTTATAAATTATCAAGGGTTCATGAGGGAGGGGTGAGCAGGGAGGGAGGGGAAAATGAGGAGCTGATGCCAAGGGCTTATGTGGAGAGCAAATGTTTTGAGAATGATGAGGGTAACAAATGTACAAATGTGCTTTATACAATTGATGTATGTATGGATTATGATGAGTTGTATTAGCCCCCAATAAAATGATTAGAAAACTGAATAATTGATTAAATAGGAAAAACAGGCCTGTCTTGAGCATTATGTTTTAAGAACTAGACAGGATCAAATTAACAACAACTTGTAAGATTAGGTAGTAATGTTAGAGAAGGCACTGGGAGCCCTGCTTGTGATGTGGTTATGGGTAGGAAACTAACACTGAAGGAAATATGATGCGGACTACCGTATATACTCGAGTATAAGCTGACCCAAATATCAACCGAGGTAATTTTACCACAAAAACTGCATTAAAAATGTGCTGAAAAAATTGGCTTATACACAAGTATATACGGTATATGCCCTAACTTAGCGAGAATCTGGAAAGCTGGTATTCCACAGTAGGAAAGCCTCCACTATGGTAAGTTAGAGGTAAAGTCCCAATACATTATCCTGCTTTAAATATTCCCACAGATTCTCCCCTTAACAGCTCTGCTGCCTTAAAGTGAGCACATGATTGATTCTGTCTCCCTATAGAAGTGGACATCCTTTTCTCTCTTCCAGCTGCGTCACCCAGCCCCCCTCATACCTTCCCCCAATGTGCAGGTATTAGTTTTCCTCACTTGTGAGCTCAGGGACCTAATGTTGATACCTCGTGATGCACGTAACTACTGAATTTGCATGTCTTATGCTACTTAAAAATGTCCCAAGATAGTAAAGGTTCTCTCTCACTTCTCCCAGGTCCGTGTGGTCCATTAAGAGAGCTGAGGTGAGCATGATAACATAAAATGTGCCTGATGCCTTTCTTTTGCCGTCTCTCCCATCTTATCCTCTGTGACTTTACTATGATCTTTATTATCGCCATGCGTTTGCACTTGCTGGCCTCTCGGTTGTGGGAGACTGGTTTCCTCTGACAGTTACGCATTCTAACCACAAGGCCACCAGCTCTCCATGGGAGAAAGATAGGGCTTTCTACTCCGGGAAAGAGTTGGTCTTGGAAGCCCTCAGAGGTCACTGAGTGGAAGTCGACTCCATGACAGAGTATAGGTAGCACTGTCGATTTGTTAATGGAGGAACAGCTCTGAAAAGGTGGGGTGAGAGTAACTGGACAACTGGAAGGATATAATCACTGTTAATTATACAAGGGCAAGTGAAATTGGTGTATGTTTTACTATGTGTATATTCAACAAAATAAAGTTTAAAGAAAAAGAACAGTACAGTCTTGGAAACCATTTGGGGAAGTTTCCCTCTGCCCTCTATAGCCCTCATGAGTTGGAATTGGCTGCAGGCTTGTTTTCTGCGTTTGGACACTGAACTATTTGAGCACTAGTATTTTGAATGTTTAAGAGCCTCAGAGTTCATTGATTTACTAAGTTTTTTTAACTAGAAAATGGTAGAGCTGGTATTTTGGTTCCAAATCAGAGACGCGAATCAAAAACATGAAAGATGACAGGGTTGTCCATAGACTTTTTCTTTGGTGGCTAACTTTTAAAAGCTGGGTTGTTGCCATTTAAAACCATAAAGTGTCACTTATCTTCAGATCTGCAGCTCTGATGGGAAAGCAGATAGGCTCTTGTTTCCAGCGCTTGCTGTACTTGATGGTGTGGCTGTTTTCTCACAGAGCTTTTTAAAAAAATTTTATTTTATTGGAGGCTCTTACTGATCTTATAACAATCCATCATTCAATTGTATTAAGCATACTTGTACATATGTTGCCATCAACATTTCCAAAATACTTTCTTCCTACTTGAGCCCTTAGTATCAGCTCCCCTTTTTACT